CCATGACCATGATGAGGTCCCACCACTCGAGAAGCTCCCATGACCACGTTGGTTCCCACCAGTAGAGAAGGTCCCATGACCATGATGGAGAAGGTCCCATGACCATGATGAGGTCCCACCACTTGAGAAGGTCCCATGACCACGTTGAGTCCCACCAGTAGAGACCACATTGAGTCCCACCAGTTGAGAAGGTCCCATGACCATGATGAGGTTCTACCAAGGTAGAAGGTCACATGACCATGCTGAGGTCCCACCACTTGAGAAGCTCCCATGACCACGCTGAGGTCCCACCAGTAGAGACCACGCTGAGGTCCCACCACCCCAGAAGACCCCTCAACCCCCCCCCCTTGGAGATCCTCCAAACCTCTTTCCTCTTCCCTTGTAGACCTGAAGACCATCAACCCTTCCAACATGGTCCTCTACGTCCTTCCCCCCAACCCCGTGGACCTCTACGTCACCAGGACCCCCAAGGTCACCTGCTGGGTGGTCAACTTGCCCAACGACTCCGGTTTCCAACTCTCCTGGTCCAAGGAGACCCCAGGTGTCCTCAGCCCGGACATCTTGGACCTTCGAGAACATTTCAACGGGACCTTCTCGGCCACCAGCACCTTGAGCGTCTCCGTGGACGCTTGGGAGGCTGGAGAACGTTTCACCTGCACCTTGAAGCACCAGGAGCTCCAGGTGCCCCTCAACAGGACCATCGCCAAGAGGACAGGTGAGGGGAAAAGGTGGGCGTGGGTGGTGGAGAAGGTCTCCAGAGGTTGGAGGACGTCTGGAGAAGGTCTCCATGGAGATGGAGAACTTCTCCTGAGCTTGGAGAACATCTCCAGAAGGTCTCTGTGGAGCTGGAGAACATCTCTAGAGCTTGGAGAACATCTCCATAGGCTTGGAGAACATCTAGAGAGCTTGGAGAACATCTCCAGAAGTTCTCTATGGAGATGGAGAACGTCTCCAGATCCTGGAGAACGTCTCCAGATCCTGGAGAACATCTCCAGAAGGTCTCTGTGGAGCTGGAGAACATCTCTAGAGCTTGGAGAACATCTCCATAGGCTTGGAGAACATCTCCATGGGCTTGGAGAACATCTCCAGAGCTTGGAGAACATCTCCAGAAGTTCTCTATGGAGCTGGAGAACGTCTCCAGACCTTGGAGAACATCTGGAGAACATCTCCAGAGCTTGGAGAACATCTCCAGAAGTTCTCTATGGAGCTGGAGAACGTCTCCAGACCTTGGAGAACATCTGGAGAACATCTCCAGAGCTTGGAGAACATCTCCAGAAGTAGTCTGGAGAACAGCTCCAGAACGTCTCCATGGAGCTGGAGAACTTCTCCAGAGCTTGGAGAACATCTCTATGGAACTTGAGAACATCTCCAGAAGTTCTCCATGGAGCTGGAGAACGTCTCTATGGACCTGGAGAAGGTCTCCATGGAGCTGGAGAACATCTCCAGAGGTTGGAGAACGTGTCCAGAAGTTCTCCATGGAGCTGGAGA